TGTGGTACTTGCCAGTTGAGGTACTAGTATTATGCGCATCTACGTCTAAATGATATATGGAGTTATTATTGTTAATTTTACAGAATAGAGTAAATGTGTTACAAAGGTGGTTGGAGAATTCTTCAGCTTGCTCTTTGTTCCTTATAGTTGCCCTCCTTATAGTTATAGTATAGTTGCTTCTTGTATAATTTCTGTCAACGTTGTTACTGCCTGAAAGACCAAATGAAACTACAAAGATAAAGATAAAGAAACAGATATTAAAAAATAAGGTAATTTAACTGAAAAATTGAATAGACCAAGTAATTTCAGTGTGTCTAATTCAATTAAACAAAACATTTTCAAACTAGGTTTCATAATTATAACTATCAAAAACAAAATTTTTCCAAATATCCCTTTTAAAACCTTTGTACTTGTAACGTCAATTCACATCAGAGACCAGGCCACACACCGCGGGCAAGATGGCACCCAGATGTCTGCATATTCTTGGTGCGTACCTTCAATAGTCTTAAGTACCCACCAGGGGTCTTGGAATTTTCATAGTTCAGGTCCTTCGGACCAAGTGAGTATCTCTCGTCTTAGATTTCCTTTTACGTTTATTGTTTACTATGGGTTAACACGGAAAGTTGGTTTTCCTCACGTCTGGTATGTTCCGTTAGCAACCTTCTCACGAGGGCGGCTAAAACCTTTCCTGGTCCACTAACCGTCTTATTATCCAATCGGAGACGGTGCCTACTGCCCTCACTTCCTTAACCAAAATTGTTATCAACAAATCCGATAGACCCGTGTCCTTAGACACACCCACCCCTAGCTTTCCTCAGACACAGTATCGTCAGTAAAACTTCACTTATCCTGTATCCTTCGAATAGTTCTTAGAATATCTTTACCGGTCTCCACCCTTATAACAGTCGCGTACTTAACGTATCATTGTAACTAAGTTTTACATAACGTGGTTGGAGTGAATTGTGATTTATGTTAATTCAGCGTGTATTCTATTGTGATTGCTGAATTCGTAATAAAGTTCAACTAAAACAAAATTAATAGTTGTGTTACGACTCAGCTATTCTATTTCATTATCCAACCCTCAAGTTTACGGGACATACTTTACGCCAAGAAAACACAGAAAAAAGTTTAATTATTTATAATACCATTAAAAGAAACGTGCACAATTGCTTTCTTTAGAAATTATTCACTCTGATTTTCAGTTCAAAAAGCATCGAGCAGATATCTGATTTGGAGTAGACAACGAAATGATCAGAATAGATCTGTCTAGAACTCGAGCCTTCGGAATTGGTAGAAGGCAAGCAGAGTGCCGGAAACTGTCCACTCGAGGCAATATCATGGTACTACGTTGAAGGAAGATAGTTTCGAAAGTAGGGAGGTAATAATAAAGAATACAGCTCTGATTCATCCTTGAAAGAGTATATTCCAAATACAAACGATCAACTTCCCAGAAACAGATAAACTCTAACACAAAGCAAGCGATACAAATACATAAATTTTAGGAGAAAAAATTGGTGTGAAAAATGAACAATTATCATTTTTTTATCATATTGCATTCTCGATAAGATACATTCAGTGACTCATGAAAATACCTGAATTTAGAAACTGCTTATCAAAATTTAGAAATACTCACACATAGAAAATATTTGTGACTATATTATTAGGTGTATTATATGAAACATTTTGAAATTTCATTAACACTATAATGAGACACCGCTATACTTTTTATATTAATATAATTTGAAGCTGATCTGAAAATGTATATAAATGTATGTCGGAGATGAGAGGACACCGGAGACCTTCTCTGGAACTTCGGAAAATCCGTAGAATTGTAATTAAAGTTTACAGCTGTAATTAAGCGATTTGCTATCATTGTACTTGTTTGCGATTTGTGATAATAAACTTGGGCTCGGGGCGACAGTCGGGAATGAACGCTTTGTCTAACAAAGGCATGGAGTAACTCTATAGCTCTCTTGAAAAAGGAAATAGCCGCAACACTCGACAGTAAACATTCCAACGGTCTCTGTCCCGTAGCTCGCCACACGCAGACCCTATTCTTCGAGTAAGATGATTGCCAGATGTCGATGCGTTTCCGCAGTACATGTTCAGCTA